GCATCGATTCCTCTCCCCACCACCTATGTTTAAGGGTGGCCTGGGTGTCGGTCAGAACAGGACAAGCTAGAGTTTAGAAAAGAACAAAGGTCATTCTTTCTATATTACCGAAGCCTCCTGCTCAGCCTTGGGCTTAGTTAACCCTCAGTAAATGCTTTGTCCGTTTAGTGAGCACTTGCCGAGGACCTGACGTGTGCTAGGCACTGTTTACAATAGTGCCGGAGAAAGACACGGCCCCTGCCGGCATGGAGTTCTCAGTCCGCTGAGGGTGGGGGAAGTAGAGAAAGGCAGATGTGAAGCCAGTAACCAAAGTTATAGCTATTTAATTCAAATTGTGCTAAGTTGTCGCATAGGAAAAATGTAGAGCGTCATGAGAATATATAAAACAAAACGTTTTCCCACATTTTCCTAGATTTCCTTTAGAGAGTGACATCGAAGCTGAAGTTTGAGGGATGAATGGGAGACATTGAATAGGTGGCCAGAGGCGGGGAAGACTGTGCAGGCGCACCCATCCCTGGAACAAAAAGTCACGATATATTAACCACAAAAATAATGCAGGTGTCAATCAAACCCTGTAGATGCCTAAGGCGTGGACCCGCTCCCTGACCGTGTATACCCACTGAACCCAACTTTTTCTCTCCCTTGTTTTGTTTCCACATCAGAATACGCCACCAACAACCCTGACCTGTTGTTAGTCATATTCCAAGTGACAGGCGTCAGCCTCCTGCCCCCCCTGGGGATCGCCATAGCCGTCATCATCATCTTCTACTGCTACCGTGTTCACCGGCAGCAGAAGCTGAGCCCATCCTGGGATACCAGCAAGCCACGAAAGCTCATGGAGTTCAGCGAGCACCTTGCCATCATTCTGGAAGACGACCGCTCTGACATCAGCTCTACCTGCGCCAACAACATCAACCACAACACAGAGCTGCTGCCCATTGAGCTGGACACCCTGGTGGGGAAAGGCCGCTTCGCCGAGGTCTACAAGGCCAAGCTGAAGCAGAACACTTCTGAACAGTTCGAGACCGTGGCGGTCAAGATCTTCCCTTACGAGGAGTACGCCTCCTGGAAGACGGAGAAGGACATTTTCTCAGACATCAACCTGAAGCACGAGAACATACTGCAGTTCCTGACAGCCGAGGAGCGCAAGACGGAGCTGGGGAAGCAGTACTGGCTGATCACGGCCTTCCACGCCAAGGGCAACCTGCAGGAGTACCTGACGCGGCACGTCATCAGCTGGGAGGACCTGCGCACGCTGGGCAGCTCCCTCGCCCGGGGCATTGCCCACCTGCACAGCGACCACACCCTGTGCGGGAGGCCCAAGATGCCCATCGTGCACAGGGACCTCAAGAGCTCCAATATCCTCGTCAAGAATGATCTGACCTGCTGCCTGTGTGACTTTGGGCTTTCCCTGCGTCTGGACCCGACCCTGTCTGTGGATGACCTGGCCAACAGCGGGCAGGTAAGTTAGACCTGGATCCCCTTACTTGTAGGGGGCCCCGCCCTACCTCTCCATCCATCTCCCGTGTCTTTTGTCTCCAACGGCCCTGTGCTCTGCACACCTGTCAAGGGAATGTAGCCGAGGTCGGGAGTTGGCCCTGGGAATGCCCCACTGTCTTCTGCCAGGGTGTCGTTACTAATGGACAGCATTTCTCCTCCTGTTTCTGCAGACCTCTTCCAATTCAAGACAGACATTCTTCTCCTTGAGTCGGTCTTCATTTTTCTCCCGTTTGCAGAGTACATTTCATTGCTTCTAACGCCATTAGTGCTTTGCCTCTATTTTTCCCCCGCTCTCACTCTTCTACTGAGCACTTCCTACTCGGTACTGTTGGTGGCCACGTTGTTTTCTTTTTACCATTCTAGAAGGCAACCTCCTTGAAGCCCAAATGCACATCCATTTGGTCCTATCTAGCACAAAGCCTTGAACGGTGAAAGTGACCAATAGATACTTATTGAGTGAGTTGACAGACTGAGTGAATATACAGTTCTACAGTTTTTTTGAAGCATCTCATAGATGAAAATAGAAACCTTTTTGGGTAAGGAGGTATTGGAAAGTCACTAGAAATTACCAAGCCATCCTTCACGAATGACGGCGCTCCGTGTTTTCACACACTGGAAGCTTGATGTGGATTATAGTAGAGTCTGGAAAGCACCGTTGTTTCCTCTAAGAAAGTGGGGGTATGTGCTTCTGAAGCATTCAGTTACTCCTTGGTCTGGCCTCTTGGGTCCATAGCTGCACAGGCATTGTTGAGGTAAACATATGGAATGCAACATGGACAGATTAATATGGCAGGGTAGTGAGTCATGCAATGACCTATTGAAAAGAAGAATTCCCTCTGATACATACAATTAAGAAACATTCCTTGGGATAGTAATATCAATTCACATGACCTGCCCTAGATTCTTGAAAAGGTAAGGACTTCATTGTTATTTAATTAAGCTATAGATACTGCAAAATCAGACATTTAAGTGATTGCTTCCCTAGAAATATCTTTCTCCTTTTTTCCTGTGTATACCACTGTTTTTGCATTATCAGCCATTGTCCAAAGAAAACTGCATAGCATGCTCATCACAATTCTACAGTGATCTAGATTTGGCCTTCTACTATAGAAATACTTTCACGCAGCTTAGTTTAGTAGAGATTTTATGAAGGTACACTACATTCTTGGCACACTAGAATGTACCACGGAGTAAACAAAAGATATTGAGGCCGTCCTTAAGTGACAGAAACTAATGGCAATTATTCTTACTTTCACCATAAATCTCGGTGTTTCAGGAATGAGAAAATAGTTATTTGCAAAAGCAAAAATAAAGTTCTAACATATCACAGATGTCGTCTCCCCAGTTATCTGTGAGGATGTTATTGTATAATACAATGACATATATCATGAAGTGAGAGAAAGCAGCCCTGGGGTTTGACATTTCCTTATTTTGGCGTGCTTTGTTTATATTTTTAAAAGTGTGTTCAGGGAGAGAAAAACTATTTTTAAAAACAATTTCAGAGGCTGTCCCTTTCTGTACCAGTCTCATTATTTAAAAGAGCAGTGTGCTTTTCCAAGATCATCTTCATGTGTAGAGAACAAACATCAGTTATATTTTTAGAATAAAAATGCAGCTGGATTACACGATGGGCCTCAATGTCTATTTTTGCTTTAGGTGGGAACTGCAAGATACATGGCTCCAGAAGTCCTAGAGTCCAGGATGAATTTGGAGAATGTTGAGTCCTTTAAGCAGACGGACGTCTACTCCATGGCTCTGGTCCTCTGGGAAATGACATCTCGCTGTAATGCGGTGGGAGGTATGTATGGACCACTCTCATACTGTGGGGGTAGACGTGTCTTCAAAATGATGTCACATTGTTCGCTTCAAGCGTGATTCCAGGGGTACGACAGAGGTAACCCCACAGTGAGAGCTAGCTGAGATCGGTTAGTACACAGCCGTTCCAGAATGACTGAGAATTGTGCTAAAAAGCCTAGATTTTTCAGCTGAAAACCATGTTTGGAGCAGAAGGCTTTCTATCCCCTTCTTTACAGTATAATTACTTTTCTCTCGACACATCTCTCCACGGATATTTAAATATCTGGCAAGAGATGAACACTAGTAATATTTATAAGAATTCCTCCTGTTTGTCAAATAGATCATGTTGTTAGGAAAAATATCGGATTTTTGTTTGTTTTTATATTTGAAGGTTTTTAAACCCATCACCTATTTGCCTGGGTCCCTGTGTGGGGACGGCACTTCCTGTCTGGCCGGCCCCGTTATTTTCTGCTGCTTGCCTGCCTGCCTTCCCCCCGTGGCACATCCAAAACTAACTTGGTTTTTCCTTGCACGGTGAAATTTGTTTAACCAAGTTTCAGCCACTGAGAATAATTTTCTGCTTGAAAGCTTTGACAGTTCCAAAACGAATCCTTCGACCAGTATGAGTTGTATAAGAGACGGTGCTGTTGTCACCGTCAGAATAAATTTACCTAGATTTCGGTATCTTTTCTATCCTTTCAAACCCGTTATTCTATAAACATGAGCTGGAGATTGTGTCTCTGTCTTTCCCTCTGTCAGCGCAGCCAGCTTATTAAGGCCCTATGTGAACTCTCTGCTTTCATGGTTATCAATGACTGAAGCGCTTTCCTGTTGATATTTGCTGAGTGTGGAAGAATTCGGGCTAATGGGGAAGAACTGAGTTCACCAACTTTTACGAGGTCTAAAAATGGATACAGTATAAACAAGTTTTCCCAAGGAAGGAACAGGATCTCATTTGCTCAGCTAGTCTCAGAAAACCTTTCATAACCTTTAGGATAAGAACGGATGGGTTTTGGGGAACCGGAAAGAGGCCATCCCGGTTCTCATTTTGTTTGATCTTAAGCCCACAGTCCTGCGTCTCTCATCTCCGCTCAGGCTGCAGAAACTCAAGTTATTTATCTCTCCTCACTTGGATCCAGCTGAAAGCCCTTCACTTGATTTAGTGTGTGAACTCACGTATTAAGCCCTTTTCTTTACCTTCTTTTGGAAAGCATTGTGGATTTTTTTGGGTTTTTTTTGGTTTATAGAGGTTTTTTGTTTTTTGTTTTTTTCGAAGGGGGTGGAATGTATCTTAAAAACATTAAAGACAGATTCTTCGCTTCATCTTAATCTCAGAGACTTTTCCTTTTTTTAATATTTTTTAAGTTTTCTTATTTTGAGAGAGAGAAAGAGGGAACATGAGAGCACGAGCAGGGGAGGGGCACAGAGAGAGGGAGAGAGAATTTCAAGCGGGATCTGTGATGTCAGCACAGAGCCCGATGCGGGGCTTGAACTCACAAACCATGAGATCATGATGACCTGAGCCAAAGTCGGATGCTCAACTGACTGAGCCACCCAGGTGCTTCTCAGAGACTTTTCTTCTGTATTTCAGGAGTCCCATGGGAAGAACATAGGGTCGGCAGATAGACACATTCCCTCCCAGCTGTTGTAGAGACACAGGGAGAAGGACAGGTCTTGCCCTCAGGAAGCTTGACTGATGAGACAGACTTTTTTTTTTCTTCCTTACTTTAAAAAAAATTTACAAATTCATCAATTTCTTGCCTTAGAAATAAAATCAATTATAATTCCCCCCAGTTGATGTTAGGCTTTAATTTTGAAGGTCTAAGAAAGAGGGTGGGATGTAGAAAAAGCTTTCCTTAAGCTTAAACCTTCTCTTCTCTCACGTGAAATGCAATGTGTGTAATTAGTATCTTTTATTGACCATCTGATTTCAAAAAAGGAAATGTGGAATCTGAAGCTTAACTTGGTATGGCGAATTCGAGATTGAGATTGTATTTTGCCACATAGGTCAACTAATATTCCATTCCATCCAGTTTTATTCTGAGTAGCAGGCATCTAACTGTATGCGGGAGGATGCTAACCATTAGGGGACAGTCTTGTAGGGAATGTGAAACCCCAGCTGTCCTGCCGTTAAGGGACGCCATTCTGTTCTTACTGCTGAGCTCAGACTCTTCACGTGAATGCTAAGCCTGGCCCTCGCTCGCCTTTCTAGCCTCATCTCCCCATAGCACTGTCATTCCACATGGCACGTCTTCTATGAATGCCTTTTAGGTCTCAACCCTAGGCTTTGTCCCGTGCTATTGACTGGGACCGAAGTAGACTTCTAAACACGCAAGTGCAGGTCAGTTGTGACCAGTGCTGCACGAAGGTAAGGCAAGGACGTGGGGCCCCAAAAGCCCACGTCAGCTGAGGGGAGCGAGACAGTAGGGTCGGGCAGGGAGGGCTCTGGAAGGATGCGTAAGACTTAGGACCGTCCTCTTGAGTTGCTTCTTTATCAGCCTCTCTCTGCTCGAGGGGAACAGAGAAAAAGCACTACCACCCCACTGGACCAGTCAAGTCTTTCTTATCAGATGACAGAATGGCAACAGTTGATCACAGCACTCTTCCGAAGCCAACTGGTACAGCCCCCTTCACACGGAGGAGCTCGAGAGGTGGGCTGCAGTCATTGAAGAGGGTGGTCCAAGTGGAAAGGCGTCCTGGTGGAAGCAGCTCTGGTCATGAAGAAAGCCACGAAGAAGTAGTAGCCACCATTCCCTGGGCACCTGCTTCATGGGTCAGCTCGTCCAGCCTACCGAGCACTCTCAGGCACTGGTATTAAATGCTGCATTTTACAGATGGGAAAACTGAGGCTTCGGGAAGTGGGAAAGCCGTGTGGCCACGACACTGCTGGCCTGACCAGTGGAGGACATCGTAAAGAAAGGACATCACGGATTGGGCAGCCAGTGCTACCTTGTGCATCCTGGCCTCTAATTCAGTGTCTTTCTGGAAGTAGCCAGCAGGACTGTCACACTTGAGAAACGCTCAGTGATGGCCTCACTCGTGAAAGTCTCCAGGGATGGACTTTCCCGTCTCCTCTGGGTGCATCTCTATTAACAGATTCCTAAAGCTCTTAATTTCTGAGCATGTTACAGACTCAGTGCCTTAAAGTCTGAGATAACTTCTTTATCCTTATTTCTCTGAAGATCCGTTTATTCGTTCATTCCTTCTCTTAACAAATATTTATTGAGTACCAGTTGTAGGGCAGGCATTATTCAAATGCTAAGGACACAGCAGTGGGGGGCAAAAAAAAAAAACAGAAAAAATGCCGTCTCTGTCCTCCAGAGACAAGGAGTCTGTGAAGAACTAATATTGTCGAAAGAGGGGTAATGAACAAACAGATATGTGATTACAGCACTGGGGTGGGAGTAGGCAGATATGAATTTAGAAAGCAAAATAAAGAGTCAGGGACAGATCATGACAGAGCGCATCATCTCGGACACTAGGATCACCTGAAAGAACACGGAAGTCGGGAAAACAGGTCTTTCAGAGTTGTTTGAAGAAGGAGCCAGATCGCAGGAGGTGATTGGTCTGTGACTGTCTTAGAAAGGAGGGAAGTCGTGAAATCGTCCTTCAGCAAGGACAGACCCGGAGACGGGCCTTGCTTTACAAAGAAATCTCTGTCCGGCTTTTGGTTTATTTGGTGTTCATGCAAGCGTTTGCGGTGCGTGGGAGGCGGAGGATGGCGGGGACCCTTTCGGGGCCCCCTTCTGGCGAGCACAGCAGACACAATATGCACATCACCCCCAGCCAAAACGGACCCACCAGAAAACCGACTTCCAAATAAATCCCTGGCCACTGAGGTCTTTGAATAGAAACTGACACACGGCAGCCCGCGGAGCAGGTGTTTAACAAGGGGAGAGACGTAGCTCTTAAGCATCCTGTCTGCCCGCCACAGGCCTGGAAGACA